TCTAAGAATTTTTTCAGAATTTTTTATCAACTTTTTAATTACTTTACTATATTTCCTTATTTTTACCAACACGAGAAAATAAGATAAAAAATATTATATAAATATTATATAAATTCCGAAAAAATTCTTAAAAAAAATCTTAGAGCTTTATGAGAAGAAAATAAACAATTTTTTCTCTTGCAGTTTTTCTGTAAAATTGGCAGTATTTGAATAAAAAATTATTGAAGAATTTTTGACAATTTTTAGCAATTAATATCTTGTTAACTATTGCGAAAATTGCAAAATGGTAAAGAACTTTTCTTCTTAGTTTAATCCATTCTATCCTGGTGCGAAAGATTTATCGTTACTTTTAGAATACTCTGTATATGTATAATATATAAAGATACAGCTTTGCTTATTTACTTATTTATTATTTATTTTATTTATGTATATTTTTAAGACAATATACAAAGATGTATAGGACATATAAGAGTCAACGTAATTAAGTATAAATGTAAGAACTATAATATGATATATTGAATGTATAAAAAAAATTCTATAAATAACACATTGTAAAACACATTACATTACATGTTTCGGCTCTTGGATTGAGTTATCCTCAGATAATACAAAATTCACAACCTTAAAATTAATTTCCATCGTCATAGAAAAATCATGATGAAAATTTTCCAATTTATATAACGATATTGATGAATGCCTCAGAGAGATGAATTACTTGCAAGCGATTTACTGATTACCGATTGTTCGAAATTTTATGATATTTTAATTAAAGAAACATTTATTAACTAATAAATAAAAATAAAAATAAAATAAAAATCTGAATAAAGTAAAAATCTGTTAAAATATTATCTACTTTTAAATTTTGAAAAACCAAGCAAAAACATTATCTCAATAAAACGTGATCGCAGTTCATTTCTTAAGAAGAAATACTTCGTCAAATTCATCATAAAATCATGTAAAATATAAGAGATAATAATCAGTTATCAGGTATATCAGTAATAATATAATGTAATATAGTCGCTATATTAAAACTTGAGAGAGAGAGAGAGAGAGAGAGAGAGAGAGAGAGAGAGATAATCTGTCCAAAAAGAATTTTTTTAAAGATATGTTAACGGTAAGGCTGACTGTCTGTCTTATCTGAGAAGCAATTAATAAATTGACAAAACGATTAGATAAGAATAATGTTAAATTTTTTTTTATAATCAATGTATACACTTTGTGAAGGCCATCCGTGTCCGTTTGGAGTCCGTTAACTGTTTTTTTGCTCTTTTTAATATATATATGTATATTTATATTTATTATATATTATATCAAGTTTTCTTAAAATACAATGGAATAACTTTTCTGAATAATCAATAGTACAGTCATGATGTACGAATATTTAGAGACAGAGAGCGTGTTCTTTGAATATGTCCCAATACTCATACAAGTGTTAAGGAAATCACTGTCTATATGTACATATATTGGGTCATCTAAAAAGTATCCGCGGTTTTTTGTCACTAGATGTGTGTTGATGATCATATATCTATTAGGTGTTGGAATTAATTCGTAGCGTTTTACAAGTGATGGGAAGTACTTTCATTAATGTATTTTTTAATGCTCATGTGAAATAAATAACATTCTTTCATTAAAAACGCTACGAATTAATTCCAACACCTAATATTTTTAGATGACCCATATATTTTGGTTATGTTATTTTTTTTAATTGAAAATATCGAAAAGATATGAAAATCACTTTAGGGATTATATAAAATTAACGAATAGATTATTTTTAACACACTTATTTTATTATTATTTTTAACTTACTTATTATTTTTACATTTACTTTTACTTTTATTTCTACTCTTAGATATAATGTATAATGGGAACTTTCACATGCGACCTTTGGTTGGTGTTTATTGCGTAACGAGTGAGTTAGATGTATCAATGATTAACGTATTATCCGTGAAGGCAGGCAGTATGTTGTTGTGTGTTGCTCTTCGTATTTTTTTTTTAAATCATAATCAGAACATAATCAGAAGTGCTCAATAAAACAATGTTTTACAATTGTTACAGTCTACAGTGAACGATCTTAGTTGCTTGTGTGGTTATTAAGTGTGATTATTCGTAAATGTATTATATATTTAAGTGATAATCATGTAATACGAAATAGATATTTTGCATTCCCAGTAAAAAATTTTCCGTGCATGAATATAAACATATATAAATATTCATAAACATATATAATTATGTATGAAACATGTCCATACATATTTATACATTCTTCTTTCTTTGTGAAATTACTTTTTAGTGTACTAAAAAAAAAAATAATGAGAAAAACATCAAAAATAATTAAAAGGAACATTTTCGCATTGTTTGTTTTAGAAAAAAAATTAAGTTTGGAGAAATATAAAAGAATTATTCATATATTATATAATTGTAAATGTAAATTTTTTACATTTTTCCAAACCTGATTTTGTCTAAAATAAACAATGCAAAAATTATTCCATTAACTATTTTTGATATTATTTTTTTAATATTATTATTATTTTTAGTATACTAAAAAGTAATTTTACAAAAGAAAGATGTATAGACATATTTCATATATAATTATACATGATTATGAATATTTATGCGTGTTTAGATATATTTTATATTTATTCATGTTGATATATAAAAAATTTTTTACCGAGCTGTTTGTTCGTTTGATATTGGAATGAGAGAGTATGGAATTTTTCGGGAAAAATGTAATATAATGAACATATATATATAATTATATATAAAATATATCAATTTCATATATAATTATATATAATGTTGTATAATTTGAAATAGCAATTATTTCTTTTGATTGGTGCATGCAAGGAAATAAACTATGAAGTAATTCATAATAAATATTGGGTCATCTAAAAAATATCCGTGGTGTTTTGTCACTAGATGGTGTTGATGGTCAACACATCTAGTGATAAAAAACCGCGGATACTTTTTAGATGACCCAATATAAAAATCATGTATATACAGCAACGCTCAATGTATGAACGAATTCTAGCATACATCAGAGCAAGCATGGTTGTATGTTATCATTCAAAAAATCGAATAATTCTATTTTTAATGACTTATGTTAAGTACGCTTTTAATTTTAATTAAATAAAGTTGGCAAATATATTTTATCTTCAATAGCCGACTTTTATCAATAACAGTTTGAATTAGCAACTGATATTTAGCTTTTACTAAGTCCTTTTTTTACATATTTATTAAACGTGATCCAAGGTTTGTGTAATTGTCGTCGAATCACTCGTTGAAAGTCACTTTTTTGTAAGTTTAGTCATTCAGTTGTACATTTATTGTATACTCGTAATAATGCTAATGTCGATGATATCATAATTTTCAACTTATAATATTTTAATACCGGCGGTATTGTAATGTTTAACTTATAATTCAAAAAATACTTAATGAAAAAATATATTGTTATAGTATTCTTGAGATAAGAGTACAAAAGTATGTAATGGAAAATGGGAGTTTCCATTTAAAAAAAATAGATATGACGTTGATATTTGATATCATTTAAGATCAAATCGAGAAGAAGTAAATAGTTCTTTTTAAACTCTACAGTTTTTGTGTCTGAAATATTTTTTTAAAAAATGCATACTTTTTAAAATATTCAACCATTCCGGAATTTTTGTCCCTCATTGTATAATATGTATAAATTTTATTTTAATTCGCATAATTTTTTATTATATATTATTAGTTTTTTAAGGAAAATTAAAGATATTATTATTTAAGTTAAAATGAATGAGAATAAAAAGATACTATTTGGACTTTATTTTTTTAAAGTAGCTGTATTCAATTATTTTTTGAAGAAGCACGTGTACTTTTGACGATATATTTATTTTTTAAAAATAATTTTGCAATAATTAATTTAATCTGATACTAATCATAACTAAAACTTACGTTGTTACTAATTCATAATTTTTACAATTTGAGTAATTTTTATTTACTTAAATAAATTTTTTTATTTAGAAAAATTACGTAATCTATTTTATTATAATATAGTATGGAGATACAGGATAAAAAAAATAACATGTTACACAATCTTAAATGTTATAAATATATGTTAAAACATTATTTTAATATTTTGAATTTATATTCATAAAAAAGTAATGATTTTTCGTTTTGGCTAAAGCGAATTTATCTGCTGTAGAGTTTACATTAATCTGTGAAACTATTTCATGTTTGATTAAGCAGATGCCTTATATAGATAACTAGAAACAAGTAGATCTAGCTTAGATTCACTTAAAATCCGCCTCATGTGTGAGCCATTTCCATGCGCCGTTTCAGTAGAATGAGACAAATGAACATAAATAATAAAGGATAGATGCCAGCGTTCCGTCTGATTTATATCTGTTCAAATATTACGTTATTGCAATATACAACATTATAACACGTTGCAGCCTGGTGAAAATTTTTCTCAATTTTTATACGAATTGTAACATTTTCAAAAGTACTCAGAAATATTCCGAAAGTTTACATCTTCTCTCAGAATTTTTCATACAAGTGAATTCTGAAATATTCTGAAATTTTTCATTCTATAATTTTTAAAAAATATTTTTTTTAATTTTTTAGATTTTATAATATTTCATCAAAAATTATATTAGGTGTTGGAATTAATTCGTAGCGTTTTTAATGAAAGAATGTTATTTATTTCACATGAGCATTAAAAAATACATTAATGAAAGTACTTCCCATCACTTGTAAAACGCTACGAATTAATTCCAACACCTAATACTTACAAAAAATCTTAAAAATCTTACGATATTTTATAATTAACATATGAAAATATTCTGAGAAAAGATGTAGATTTTCTGAGAAATGTTCCAATTCGTATAAAAAAATGTGAGAAAGTTATAAAACTATATAGAAATTTTGAAAAATTATATGAAAAATTTTGAGAAAAATTTTCACCAGGTTATTGCTGCAAATTTCTGTGCTGTATGGGAATATTCATATTTTCTGTAATAAGAAACAAGAATGCTAGAAGAAGATTAGTGTAGCCTAATAATTATCACAGGCAATAATGAACAAAATAAAAAACGGCTTATGATTGCAAATTGAGAAATAAGTTCCTTTATTCATACGCTTGGACAGACCTGTATTCAAGCTATCCTTTGTTATTACGCTCTCTACTGAGACGAGAAGAGATGGAAATGTTTCAATTCACTAGTCAAATTTTGGACTCGATTTATTTAGAAGAATTTTTATACTGTACATTCTTCTCTCAACCTTGTGCTTCTGGCGAGGCCCGATTGTGAAATTCATAACTTCTAGATACGCTTTCACACTTATCTGTGACACACTTGTCTGTTTTCTGTTCCCACTCTAAATTGTTCTAAAATTCTCTTTCTCGCTTTAAACAAACATATATCTATCTTACTTTAAGTTTCAAAAGTGTATACTAGTTCAGCCACAGAAAACATCTATAATCTGACGTCGCATGACGTCACTCAATATATAAAACCGAAGTTTAATATTATCATCAGACAATTGATGAAGTAATAGATGATCATCGCATATTGCGCATCTTGTTTTTTTCATACTATACTGTAAGTACTACTAACTCTTAAATTAATCAATTGACAACGGATATAATTTTACAATTATAATTTTATGAAGTGTTTAGTGAAATGCTAGAAGTGAATGATAAAATTAATGCAGCAAAGATGCTGAAAAGCGACTGCAAGATTCATATGCAGGAATCAGAAATATTGTTGGAACCTGTGAAATCATGGAATTCACAAATATACATTGAATTCAATGATCTTTGTTACTCGGTTTATTGCAATCTCAAAGGTAAGCTCATTTTTTATATATTAAATGTAATGATTTTTCTGCATCTTCGATACCCTAATATATTTGTTTGTGCATGGAAAGAATTTTCTCTTAGAATTTGAAAATCATAATAACTATAAGACATGATACACTTACACACGCAAAAAAAATGGGCCACTATATTTTAGCACAAATTTTTAATATTTTTTAAATAGAAATAATTCTAACTTTTAAAGCTTAAAATCTCTACTTTCCAGATCAGTACTTTAATTCTAGCAAGCCGCTCAACGTATCTTATGCGATTTTTCACATTGCTGTAACTTTTTTATAATATAATTTGAAGACCCGGATTGAGACTGAAAAAAAAATTTAACTGTCCATAAATATGATAAGTCTGCAAAGGTTTTTTTTGCGTTATTCTCGATGTGAGAATGTTCAAAGGGGGTACTTGGGCTAAGGAGAATATAGTTGTCAAGACGTTTTTGAAACACTTCAGGTTACAATCCATTTTATATAAGAAGTTAAAACTAAAAGATAAGAGTTTCCTACTAATTTAAAAAATTTATGTTGAGCTTGATAACGTATTCTATGTATATAAAATCCGTTATTTTCATTTTCTTTCCTCCAAGAAAAATTACAACTTTTTTACATAAAACTTTTTTTACCTTTCTTGGTTTCCGAGATATTCGCTTGAAGCGAGTAAAATACTCTACCATATATAAAATATCTTATATAAATTTCATAATGTAACAATATTTTATGTTAATCATTTTGATTATGCAACACTTAATAAAATATGTCCGATGATATTCTTATTTTTTATACTAAAAATCATTACTAAAAAAAGTTGTTTATCCATGAGGATGATGCAACATCATTGATAGATGAACGCGGCAATTTCTTGTGAATAAAAATTCATACAGATTAAAGTACAATATGCAGCATTATAGAATTGTTCACTAACTCAAAATTAGATTTGAAGATAAAAGTATGCAGCATATGTCATTGAAATCGGTGAAGTCGTAATATGCAGTTTATTAATGCTTTTCATATTTCAAAAATTTCTATCATTACCTATAATGTTTAGATTGCTAAATTATTTCACATTTATGACTAATATGATAAAAATATTATAAAATTTTCCAGGTATTTTATGACATGATACCTTCAGACATTTCAAATAAGCGTGCAAGAGATTGATTTAATCACTTCCTAAACAGGTCAAAATAGATTATAGGATATCAATCATGAAACTTTTTTCCTAGGATAAAAATAGTAAAAAATTTCTCCATTAACTTCAATGGTTGAAGTTTTCACCTTTTACTTTCCATTCTAGTTTCATGATTAATACCCAGACATCAAAATGATATTAAAATGCTAAAGTTTGGCTTGATAGTCTGGATATATCCAAATCCAAACAGAAAAACAGACAGCCAGTTAGAACTCGTGCTGCTAGTTGCTGGTTTCGACTTTCTGCATTGCTTACTACCAGCGGAAGTTTTTGATTGGCTGTTGCTTTTCTGCTTTCTGCTTTTCTATCTACGTCTGAACCTATCCTATAAATATTACTCTCCAAACAAAACAAAATATGTTAATGATTTTAATAATGTTAAAATAAATGACTCTAAATAAAATAAAAATGATGTTAAAATCAATTGCGATAGAGAGTGACTTTTATTAATCGTTTTATAGTCATTTTGATGACATTCTGTTATGATAAAGATGGCATTAACCCGTTTCATATCTATAGATTAAAATAAATTTTTAGCATTTTTCATAAGGCGATTCATTTTTATTCTACTTGAATCTGTTGAAATAATATGTATATGAAAGTGTATACAGGGTGTCTCACAATTACCGCATTTTTTTTACGAACGTATTCTTAAGGGTAATTTTGAGACGAAAATTCTAATACAAAAATATCGAGGCTACAATAGTTTTTGAAAGATTACCTCAAAAATACGTTCTTAAGAAAAAATGTGGTAATTGTGAGACATCCTGCATATATACATATACATATGTATACAGGGTGTTTGGAAATTAACGATAAGTCTTTTGCACAGGGGCAGAATGGACTAAATTGAGAAAAAAAAGTCCTCTACCAATACCATTTACAATTGTCGCAATTAACAAATTATTAATTTATGAAAATAGTTAAATTCGCTCAGTCCACCGCCAAATGCAATCGTGCGATTTAGGGATAATACCCATCCCGCATGCCTTATCATTCTAGGCGGTTTAAAATGTCGTGAAAATCATACAGGAAATGTCCATTGAATTTCTATAGATTTTTTAAAATTTGAATATGTTTAAAATAATTTTATCTATGTATGATTAAAATTTCAAAGACTCTAGCGGAGCCGAAATATTTATCTTCAAAGTTTTAATTTTTAACACGTAAACTCCTATATTAAGCTTTGCGGAACTAACGTTTTAACACTTTGCGACGAAAATCTTCTACAGATTTTTTAAAAAATAAATATGTAATGTAGAAATATTACATGAACTTTATTTAAAAATGGAGAGACTTGATGGAATTCTCCTTCTCGTACTCCGAGCGGTAAGTCAGAAACATGCTCGATTCGACGTCGATTTGATGATTTCGACGTCGAATCGATTCGATGTCGATTTCATTATTATTTCTCACTGGGATAGAATTACATCGGACAATGCCGTTAAATTGATAGATCTCATCCAAATAGAAAAAAATCATGATGATATCAAAATGGCGTTAAAGTGGTTAGGTCCAAAATGATTATTAAAAGTCACTTTTTAACCAGTCATAATTCATTTAATGTTATGTTATTGTGATCTAATTGTCCTGCTTGGATGTAATGTGCGTAAATGCGACACATGACTGATATTTCATTTTTGGTTATACATAGTAAAATAAGAATGTTCAACTGTAGGGACTGAGAAAATCATTCTACATAATGTAACGGGACATTTCGAACCGGGGAAAGTCACGGTGATAGTCGGTCCTTCCGGTTCGGGGAAGACCACCCTGCTAAAAATCATATCAGGCAAACAACAAGTCGATATTAGAGGCACCATCACCGTCAACGGTGCTAAACAAAACAGAAAAATATTTCGCAAACAGGTGTGTTACGTACCGCAACAATTCGATCTATTGCCATACCTCACAACAAGAGAAACTCTTTACATAGCAGCTCGACTGAAACTCAGCGTTAATCAGAACACGCAAGCAATTTGTTCCATGGTGAGTAAAATATAAATACGACAGAACAGTTGCAAACACATTCATACACACACACACACACACACACACACACACACACACACACACACACACACACACACACACACACACACACACACACACATATATGTATGTATGTATATATTATTTTATATATATATTAGGTGTTGGAATTAATTCGTAGCG